CTCTCTCTGTCCTTCCTGCTCTCCATTTCTCTCTCCCCTCTCCTTTCCTCCCTCCCTCCTCTCTCTCTCCCTCTCCCTCCCTCTGTCTCTCTCTTCTCTCTGTCTCTGTCTCTCCCTCTGTCTCTCCTTCTCTCTCTCTGTCCTTCCTGCTCTCCATTTCTCTCTCCCCTCTCCTTTCCTCCCTCCCTCCCTCCCTCCTCTTCCTCCTCCTCCTCCTTTGGGTGATGTGCCTGTTGTCTCCTCCTTTTGGAAGTGAGTACATCCTTTCCCACAATCCTTGTCCCTGTATCCCCAGCACCTGGAATGGAACAGGCACTTAATCTGAATGCCTGCTGATCGATGCACTGTTGTCACTCATGGAAGACCTTTGGATTTCTCTCTTGCATATCAGACATTTTCTAAGATTCATCACTTTTCATTATGTTCAGGTCATACCAGCAACACCCCAAAGTCCATCACCAGATGTTACTATTGCTTGGTGACATTATGTGTTTTATTATCCGTTATCATCGTCTCACTCTTCTCATGTTGTTCCCTGGAGTTCAGATGGAGACGATTCTGGGAGAAGTCCCTCCTACCATTATTATTTTACGTTTAGCATTCTGCAAAGTATTACAGATGGGTAAAATTATTGGTTGATTCCACATTCGGAGAAAGAACTATGGAGTTTGAATGCAGATCGAAGCTCCTTTTTTTTTTTTTTGGCTTCTGTTTTATTTTATTTCTTCTTTCTTATGGTTCCTCCTGTTGGTTCTAATTCTTTACAACATCACTAATGTGAAAATATGTTTAATAGGAATGTATACGTAGAGCTTATATCAGATTGCACGCCATCTTGGGAAGGTAGGGGGAGAAAATTTAAAACTCAAAAGCTTATGGAAGTGATTGTTGAAAACTAAAAATAAATTAATAATTTAAAAAAATTATTGGTTGGTTGGATAGATTTTTTTTCCCCAGCAATTGAATACAAGTTTTGGGATTCAGTCTTACCTTCTGTGGACTCTCTGAAAGCATCTCTGGGCCAACTCCAGTATCTAGCCTGGCACATAGTAGGTGCCTAATAAATTTTGGTTGATAATGAGATTCTTCCTGTTGTCCCGAAATTTTGATTCCTTTCACAAAGTTCTACCTTTCAAGAGCTTTTCATCCCAAGCAGTTAGAAGATTAAAAGTGTTCAGAATGGTAGCTTCTATTCAAAATATTCCGAAATTTTTGTGGCTCAGTGTTATTACTGGAGGATTATGGTGGATCATTTTATATGTTAGGATACTCTGACTCCTGCAGAGTTTATTTGAATTCTCAAAAATATCGGGGGTGGGGCCATTTTTGGCGGTCCAGGGCTTGGCTGTCTGCGTGTGTATGAAAAATAGCAATGCTCAGGTATAGTAATTCTGAGCCACTGGTCTTGTCTTTCTAGGTTTTCAACAGCTGATGGGTGTTCGCACCCCGCAGTTACTTCGACCATCTCCTTGCAAAGCTCGTGGCCATGACCAAGCCCAGACGCCCCAAGCATAAGCGTTCAGTCATTTCTAGTACCGGTGACCCGGACGTCCGCTGCTCTCCGATGCCCTCATTTGTGCCATCCCACTGGGCAAGGCTCTTCCCCTGCCTCTTTGTTTGGTGTTGTCTGGATTCCTGTGGGTGTCACCCATGGAGCACTCATGGGTGCTTTTGGGCATTTCAGCAGCTCTATCACGAGGCAGACCTGTACTCTGGTTTCTGACCTTATCTTGAAACTGAATCTGCCTCCTCTTCAAAGTTACCATGATTTCTTCAGGCCAGATCTGACAATTGATTTAATGACCTTTTTTCTTAATCCTTCTCTTTGTGGTCAATCACCCTCTTCTGTCCAGGTTTTTGTGACATTGCTCTCTCCTGGTCCTCCCTCCCAGCTCCTGCTCAGTCTTCTTTGCTGAATCTCCAACCACATCATGCCCACTAACAACATGCCTACCCTAAGGCCCTTTCCTGAGCCGTCTTCTCTTTTCCCTCTATGCTATTTCATCAGTTTTCATGGGTCCAATGGGCATCTCTGTGCAGAGGACTCTCACATGTATATACCCTGTCTTGGTCTCTGTACAGAGCTGCGGTCACCTAGAGCCAGCCACCTCTTAGGCACCTGGTTTGGAAGGATGGGCACTAGCAGCTGAAGGGACTGACTTCTAAAGGCCCTTAGACCAAAGGACATAGAATGTCAGAGCTAGGAGCAACCTTAGAACACAGAACACTCAATGCCAGAGCTGGGAGGGACCTTAGAACTCAGACCATAAGAAAACAGAAAGGACTTTGGAACATGGAATGTCTTAGAACAGGAAATGTCAGAGCTGGGAGGGAACTTCGAGATCATGTCATTTGATGCCCATATTTTACAGAAAAGAGAACTGGTGTGGAAAGAGGCTGAGCATCTGGGTAAGCACTGGCCCTTCCTCAGTACAAGGTCAGAGCGGGAACTTCTCAAATGTGCCTTTCACAAGAAGGTGCCCGTCACACCCATCCTCAATCTTTCCCCCAATGCACCCAGCTCTTTGGTACCCATTATTTCACTGGTGCTTTAGGAGCATGTCTGTCAGGAAGGTAGGGCAGGGGCTTTGCAGGGGAGAAAACTATCGAGTTTGGAATTGCCCCAGCTTGCCTGATAGTAAATGACAGGCAGGACCTGAAGCCAGGTGTGCTGGCTTCAAATCATGGCCCTTTCCCATGACATCTGACTTTGATGTCCAGACCTCCTTATAGAGAAATTCCCTCCACCACTACAAAAGCAGCTCCTCTGTACCTTACAGTCAGAAAGTCATGTGAGGCCCAGAGAGGTGAAGGGGCTTGCCGGGATCACACAGCCAACAACAGTCAAAGACAAACCCTGAACTGGAGTCTTCCTGACTCCAGGGCTCGTCCTCAGACCCTCACCTCATGCCTCTCATCCATCATTCAAGCAATCCCTCAAAAAGCATTTATTAAGCACATGCCATATTCCAGGCAGCGTCCTGGATGCTGGGAATGATTGTCCGAAGGAAGTATCACCTACACATATAAAAGGGAATAAATGAACGTGTGCCTGTGTGTAGGCATGTGTAGACACGTGCACATGTGTGTGCACCTACATATAGACACATAGGTCTATGTACACGCACACAAAGTACATCTAAAGTACAATTTGGAGGAAAGAGACGGTAGAACCCTTGGCACTAACTGGGAGGGAAAGAATTGTCTTTTTTTTTCCACCTCTAATGAAAAGTTAGCATTTCCTTCTATTGTGATTAAAACACCACCACCCAGACTGCTTTCTGAAGGCTCCACCCGTTTGGGCAGACTGCCCAAGGGATCTATGGCATCAAAAAAGCTGGGACCCCCCCCCCAGTAGAGGCCGGGGAAGTCGGGAAGGCTTCCCAGAGGGGGTGCTCTCTGAGGTCCACTTTAAAGGACCCTAGGGAGTTAAGTGGAAGTGAGGAGGGAAGACGTTCCCGGCATGGGGGGGGGTGGGGGGAGAGTATCAGGCTGTGCAAAAGCCGGGAGGGAGATGGAGATGGAACGGTGTGTGTGTGTGTGTGTGTGTGTGTGTGGTGGGGGGAGGGAAGGGCAACAGCGTGCAGGCGGAGAGTGTCCGATGGGGAGTCACAGAGGCAGGTGGGTAGGGGCAAGGTGGGAAGGGCATTCAGTGCCAAGCACGGGGATAAATGTGCATTATTCATGCCCCTTAATTGTCCCTAACCCAAGGGAGAGAGGAAACCGGAGCTGGGCGCTCAGCCTGGAAGGATCCAAGCCTGAGGGGAGAGGGGAGGGCCTGGGGCTGGGCGGGACCTGGGAAGGTGGGGGCGCCCTGGAGAGCTCCCGGCCGTAGCCACAAGTTGGCTGGATCCAACTGGAACAGGAGCATCGGGGAGGGGGCGGCGGCCGCGCGGCTTGGCCGGGGGCAGGAGCGGGCAGCGGGCAGCGGGCAGCGGGCGGCGGGGAGGAGGCAGGGGACGCGCCGGAGGAAAAGCGAGTGGAGCGCAGCAGAGGGCAGGCCCGGGGGAGCCCCTTCCCTTCTGGTCCTCGGAGCCCGAGCCGAGAGGTGAGCCGAGAGGGGCTGCACGGGAAGGTGGGGCTTTGAGAGAGGAAGATCGGGGGGCGCACGGCCGCGGAGAGGACTCCGATCTCCTGCCCCCCTAGCCAGTGGGCGGGAGCCGGCCGCAGGAGGCGGTCGCCTGGGAACCCCCCCTCCCGCTTCCAATCCCTTCCCTCCCACCCCCCGCTTCCAATCCCTTCCCTCTCCCCCCCTCCCGCTTCCAATCCCTTCCCCCCCAGTCCAATTCTCCCCCTCCCCCAGCGCTCCATTCTCTCGGTTCCGACCCTCCGCAGGTGCGGCTTCTCGCTCTAGGGTTCAGGTGTCTCGGAGCCTTATAGGGGCACGCGGATCCCCTGGGGAAAAGACCGCGCCCTACAACTGGGGGTTCCGCCCTTAGGCCCGGGGTCGCGAGGAATGGGTGGAATGGGGGAGGCACGTGCTATGGCTAAGCTGTCTCTGAAGCCCGGGGCCCGGGGAGGGGGTAAAAGGGAAAGAGACCAACCCCAGGGGTGGGGGCGGGGGAGGGGAGAGAAGGAGGTCGGGTCGGGGGACTGGAAGCCACCGGTGAGTAAAGCAGGGTGCCCAGGAGGTGGGAGGCGGGGTGGGCACGGAGTCTGTCTGGTCAGAAGCCTGAACTAACGAGTCCACGGACTGGGTCTGGGCCTGGGTCTCACCTTGTCCGTCTGTAAACATGAAAGGAATGGGTTCAGCGGTCTGTCTCCTTGGGGACGGGAGCGTTTTCAGTGCCAGCTCTGGTACACGCGGCAGGGACTTCATAGATAAGTGCTTGTCAGCCCAATGGAAAGAAAATAGATGGAACTGGTTTCTTCCTGCTCCGACAACATCTGGTCTAACTTTTCCTGTTCTCGGCCGGCTCAGCTGACACTCTCCCGATCTAAGGGCCCTCCGACTGGCTTTGACATTCCCTGTTCTGTGTTCTTAGTTGTTCCCAGATTCTACATTCCCTGTTCTAAGCTCTCTCTCAGCTTCTAATTCCCTGTTCTAAGCTCCCTCCCTAGCTCTGACATTCCATCAATTCTTTAATCAATCCATCAGCAAGCATGTATTAAAAAGCTACTATTTGTCAGGTTGGATGCAAAAAAGCAGTCCCTGTCTTTTGGGACTTTACATTCTTTCTGGGAGGACATGTATATGTGTGAATATATACAGAATAAATACAAGATAAAATAAATTTTAAAAAAGTAAATACAAGATAATGGGGGAGAGGGGCAGGGAGAGGAGAGCCTTCCTGCCGAAAGGCAAGGCCTGAGCAGAGCTTTGAAGGAAACAGGCTTCTAAAAAGCCAGGGTGACTGGGAGATGGGGTGGGGCGTAGGAGATCTGGTCAGAAGGCCAGCCTGGCTGGATTGCAGAGAGTATGAAGGGGAATCAGATAACAAGGAAGGAAAGAAAGGCGGGAGGTGACTTGGGGTGGATTTTAAATGCCGAACACTGGATTTGCTATTTGATCCTAGAGGGCCACTGGAATTGGGGTGAGTGGTGCTGTGATGTGGTCACACCTGAGCTGTAGCAAAATCCCTTTGGCCCCAGTGTGGAGAATGGACTGGAGAGGACCGGGACAGGAGGCTGGGCTAACCCACAAACAGCTGGTGGGGAGCGCCCCGGCAGGAACAATAGTGGGGTCCCCTACGCTGGCGAAGGAGGCGGAGGGGAAAGACGCTGAGGTCTGTTTTGGACAAGTTGAGTTTGTGATGCTTTTGGGGCACAAAGTTTGAAATGTCCTATGTGGGTGTTGTGGGACTGGAGCTCAGGAGAGGGGCTAGGGCCCAGTAGATAGGTCTGGTACCCATCTGGGTAGAGGAGGTAATTAAATCCATGGGAGCTGATAAGGTCATTAAGAGAGAGTGTGTAAAGACCGGAGGGCCTTGGACAAAGCCTTAGGAAACACCCACAACTTTGAAAGGGGCAGCTGGGTGGTGCAGTGGATACAGTACTAGACCTGAAGTCAGGAAGACTCTAACCTGATCTCAGACACTTCCTAGCTGTATGACCCTGGGCAAGTCACTTTATCCTGTTTGCCTCAGTTTCTTCGTCTGTAAAACGAGCTGGAGAGGGAAATGGCAAACCACTGTGGTATCTCTGCCAAGAAAACCCTCAAATTCAGTCGTGAAGAATCGGACACAAGTGTAACAACTCAATGACAAAATTTGAAGAGGAGCAGTGAGGCAGGTAGGAGAGCCTGGAGAGAGCCATTAGGGAGCAGGCTATGGGTGGTGCAGCAGATGAGGAGGAAGAGAACTTAGAAAGAGCAGGGTTAGCAAACCCTAGAGAGGAGACTTAGCATTCAATGAAGATTAGCATTCAATGGTGTCTTTCTGTGGAGAAGCCTCGGGGGTGTGGATTGGGAAAGGGCCACAGATCACCAGTGCGGAGGGAGAAGCTGGAATAGGTGGTGAGGAAGGGAAGGTGCCAGGGTTTGTCTGAGCAAGGCTGGACAGCTCCACTGGAGGGTGGGGAACATCTAGGCTTTTTGTGGGCTGTAGGTAAGGAACATTAGATAGAAAGGGAGTGGGTGGAAAATTAGACAGGGGCCAGCTGTCATCTAAAGGGGCTGTTTGAAGATAAAACAAGCAGGGTTGGGATCAAAGGCATTTGAGGCAACTTGGTGGTGCGGCGAGTACTTGGCCAGAGTCAGGAAGACCTGAGTTCAAATCCATCCTCAAACCCTACCTGTCTGATCCCTGGGCAAGCGACTTCTCTGCTGTTGCCCTCAGTTTCTCCATCTGTAAAATGAGCCTGGGGGGCAGCTAGATGGCGCAGTGGATAGAGCTTCGGCCCTGAAGTCAGGAGGACCTGAGTTCAAATCCGGCCTCAGACCAAACACTTGACACTTACTAGCGGTGTGACCCTGGGCAAGTCACTTAATCCCAATTGCCTAAAATAAAATGAGCCTAATGATAGCACCTTCCTCCCAAAGTAGTTGTGTGGATCAAATTAAATAACTGTAAATTGAAGGGCTATCTAAATGTTGGCTGTCATTATCATCTTCCCTTGTAGAAGACGTGACCCCTGGTCTGTCGGGGAGCTGGAGGAGAGGAAGGGAGAGAAGAGGGATCATGTCAAAGGGTCAGGAGATATAGAGAAGGAGCCCCTTCCATGTTCTGAGCCCCTTAGCTCCCCCAACTCTGACATGGCAGATTCTAAGCACCATACCAGAATTTCCTGCTAGTTAACTACTTCCATTCTAATCTTAACTGCACGGGTTGGTTTGCCCAAAACCTTCTTAGTTTCATAGAATCAGAACTGTCCATTTTGTCTTGTACTAGCCTTAGTCATGAACTTTCCCTCTGGGGGTATAACTGAGGGCTCATTTCTAATTTGTTTCTGAGGTGATCTTTTCTATCTAGGTCATGGATCCATTTGGGGCTTCCCTTGATGGGTGGTCTGAAGTCCAACCTACTGTCTGTCCTGGTGTACAAAGGAGGCCTGGAAGAAGGGGAAGGGTTTCTCCAAGTTCGCACAGATAGTGAATAGAAGGTAGAGATGGGATTTGAACTCGGGACCCCTGGCTCTAGAACCAGTGCCCTTTCCATTGTTTCAAATCATCTCCCTTAACCTGGGTTTGACTCCTCCCTGGGAGCCTGAGCCTTGGCTTCCCCTCTTGTCAAAGGGAGGGGATAATATATGTAATGACTCCCCAGTAACTTTCTACAAGTGGTATTGCCCAGGAGCACTACTCTTGAAATGAATTTATTACTAGTGTTACTGTTACTGTTGGTTATCAGACAGCTGATATTTATGTAGCATTTTACAGACATGGCCCTGGGAAACAGAAGCAGTTATCATCCCCATTTTACTGATGAGGAAACTGAGGTAGATGGAGATTAAGTGACTTGCCCATGACTATGTGGCAAGCGTGTGCCACACCCTCACTGTGCTGCCTGGGCGCCAAGAGCTCTTCTAGCTCAGGGTCCAGAGCACGAGGCTTTTAAACAAATCGAGATTGAGTGGATTATGCTTTATTTGGCCCTTGGGATAAGCAAATACCAGGGTTCCGGATGTCTGAAAATTGGTACTCTAGAAAGGATGCGATCACGAGCTTTCTTGTAATGTGACGACTTGGCAAGAGGGCAAGTAAATCGTATATACATGTTGTGTGGCGACAGGAAGTCACCTGTCTGTCCCCACATGCTGGAAGGTGGGGCAGGAATGGGGTCAAAGCTGGACTGCGGTGCAGGATTGTAACCCTGAGAATGGGCTTGGTTGAGAACAGGTTATGACACCAGATGTCCTAATCGGACCAAATGTGGTAGGAAAGGTCTCAGGTGAAGCTCAGGTGGGGAGTTTCCTAATCAGGCCCACAGACTGGGGGGAGGATCCAGTGATAACTAGGGGGCGGGGTGTGACTCAAGGCCCCTGCAGCAGAGGACAAGCTCAGCCAGGCAGAAAGCCGGGAGCCTTCTCCCCCTGATGCCGAGAGAGTGGAAAAGTGTAACCGGCCGCTTGGCCTCTCTTTCTGTGGGCATTAGGACCACTTGGCCTAAGTGACTCCGTGTTGGAGCCGTACCATGCAGGATGACATCAGACTATGTAAAGTTGATAATTATCACGTACTGGGTGGATTTGAACACATTACACACTCACACTCACACTCCACAGAAACCCAGGGCTAAGAGAACATCCCCAGTGGCTACCCATTACCTGGGGAGCTGAGCTTGGAGGTGGCAGCTTCCTTCCTCCCACATACACCTGAGTCCTGTTGGGGGAGGGGCTGTGCCCTCACCGGGTAGATGAGAGCAGGCGGGTCAGACCATGCCCTGAGGGTGGGGAGAAGCTAGGACACCAGAGCTATCCCCCCCAGCCCACCCCCTTTCCCCTAGCAGCTCCACAGATTCACGGCTTGGAGAGCACTGGAGAGCTTGGTCTTGAGGCCAAGCAGTTTCGCTAAAACCTCTCTTCTTCTGGGACCCTCCAGATTCCCTGTCATCCTCCCAACACCTTCATTCTCTCTTCTGACAAGACCAGAGTCCCTGGGCCCTAGCCGTC